CAATCTTCTAGGAAATCAGATCCAGCACTATATTAAAAAGCTCATATTGATTAAGTTGTACCTATTCCAGGGATGCAAGGATGGTACAATATTTGCAAATCAATAAATGTGATACATCACATAAACAAATTGAGAGACAAAAATCACATAGTCATATCAATCAATGCAGAAAAAGCATTTGACAAAATCCAACACCTTTTCTTGATAAAAACTCTTGCAAAGTGGGAATAGAGGTATCACACCTTAACATAATAGAAGCCATGTTTGACAAACCTACAACAAATACTATACTCAATTGGCAAAAACTAAACTCCTTCCTCTGAGAACTGGAACAAGACAAGGATGCCCACTTTCACCACTCCTGTTCTATATAATACTATATAATATATAATACTAGAAGTGCTAACCATAATGATCAGACAAGAAATAAAAGGTATCTAAGTTGGAAAAGAAGAAGTAAAACTGTCCTTACTTGCAAATGACATGATAGTATACATAGAAAACCCAAAGACTTCATCAATAAACTACTAGACCTAATAAATGAATTTATCAATGTAGCAGGATATAAAATTAACACACAGAAATATATGGCATTTTTATACACCAATAACAAACTCATAGAAATGGAAATTTAAAAAATCTAATTTACAATTGAAACAAAAAAATTTAAAATACCTAGGAATAAACTAAGGAACTAAAAGACCTGTATTTGGAAAACTACAGGACATTGAAAAAAGAGATAGAGAAAGACTAAACAAATAGAAGAACATACATGTTTATGGATTGGTAGAATCAACATCATTAAAATGTCCATCATACCCAAGCAATTTGCAGATTCAATGCACTTCCCATTAAAATGCCAACAGCATATTCAAAGATATAGAACAAACTGTCCAAAATTTTTATCTGGAATAAAAAGGACCCCGAATAACCACAGCAATCCTGAAAAAGAACAAAATTCAAGGGATCACAATACCAGATATCAAGCTATATTACCATGCCACAGTTCTCAAAACTGACTGGTACTGGCACAAGAACAAACATATAGACCAATGGAAGTGAACAGAGAACACAGAAATTGACCCAAGCCATTATGCTCAATTAATATTTGACAAAGGAGGCAAGAGCATACAATGCAGTCAAGATAGTCTCTTCAATAAATGGTTCTGGGAAATTTGGTTAGATACATCCAAAAAATAAAAATAAATTAAACTACATCACCAACTTACACCATACACAAAACATACTCAAAATGGCTAACTGACTTAAATGTAAGATGGGAAACCATAAAAATTCTACAAGACTCCATGGCAGCAAATTAGTAGACATATGTCATATCAATATATTTATCAACACAACTAAGGAGAAAATAAACAAAATTGGGACTACATCAAAATAAAAAGCTTTTGCACAGCAAAAGAAACTATCAACAAAGTAAGAAAGCCCACTTCATGAGAGAACGTATTTGCCAATGATATTTTAGCTAAGGGTTTAATTTCCAAAATTTATAGGAAACTCATACAATTTAACAAAAGTAAGATAAATAATCCAATCAAATAAATGGGCAAGGACCTAAATTGACACTTTTGAAAGAGGACATATAGAAGGTCAAGAGACATATTAAAACATGCTCATAGTCACTAATCAACTGAGAAATTCAAATCAAAACAACAATGTAGTACTATCTCACACCTGTCAGAATAGCTATCATCAACAAATGACAAGTGTTGTCAAGGATATGGAAGGGCAGGAACCCTCATGCACTGTTGGTGGGAATGCAGACTGGTGCAGCCACTGTGGAGAACAATATGAAGTTTCTTCAAAAAACTAAAAGTGGAACTCCCATTTGACCCATTATTCTCACTTCTAGGACATCCCAAGAAACCAGAAACACCAATCAGAAAGGATATATGCACCCCTTATGTTCATGACAGCACAATTTAAAATAGCTAAGATTTGGAAACAGCACAAGTGCCAATGAGCATATAAATGGATTAAAAAACTGTGGTACATCTACACAATGGAGTACTATGCTGCTATAAAAAAGGAAGTTTTATCATTTACAACCACAAGGACGAAATTGGAGAGCATTAAGCTCAGTGAAATGAGCCAGTTTGAAAAATATAAATATCACATGATCTCACTCATATGTGAGATATAATGATCAACATAACTTGATTTTTAAAAAAGGGAATCGATCCAGACACAAATGGTAGGGGAGGGGTATTAGAGATCAACCAAGGACTTGTTTGCGTGCATATTAGCATAACCAATGGGCATAGACACGGGCTGTGGGGGATTGTCAGGAGTGGGAATGGCTGGGGGCATGGGGCTGGTCAAGAGAGGAAAATGGAGACATGTGTAAAACTTTAGACAATAAATAAAATAAAAATTAAAAAAGAATACAACCTGGCTGGTGTGGCTCATTGGTTGTGAATTGACCTATGAAGCAGGAGGTTAGGGTTTAATTCCCAGTTAGGGCACATGCAAGAGGCAGTTGATCAATGATTCTCTCTCATCATTGATATTTCTCTCTCTTTCCCTCTCCCTTCCTGTCTGAAATCAATAAATATATTTTTTAAAAGAAAGTATATAAGCAAGATAATCCTATAAATTGAATCTTAACCTGATGACCTAAAGCCGTGGTGGGCAGACTGCAGCTCGCAAGCCACATAAGGCTTTTTAGCCCCTTGAATGTGGCTCTTCCACAAAATACCACGGCCTGGGCGAGTCTATTTTGAATAAGTGGCATTAGAAAAAGTTAAGTTTAAAAAATTTGGCTCTCAAAAGAAATTTCAATCGTTGTACTGTTGATATTTGGCTCTGTTGACTAATGAGTTTGCTGACCACTGGCCTAAAGACATCAGGCTATTATTTCGTGGTCCAGTTTGTCATCCTCCGTTTACGAATCACCTTACAACAATGAGAAGCTTCTGGTGCTCCCACCAGACAAGTTTAATTTTAGATTTTTCTATTGAGACAGAGAAAATATGTAAACTGAAGAGACAATCCGAAAATGAATACAAAACATTAAGGGTATACTTAGGCCTTAACAGCCATGCAGCTTTGCTCCTATAATGTCAGAGAAGGTTAGAAAAGTTTGGGGAAGAGGTCTAGACCATTAGAAGGTTACATAGGAAAAGGAAATAGATAATGAAGTACTAGAATGTTCTATATAGCAGAAATCAAGGTCACCCAGAAAGCCCCTGAGAACCCCTTCCCAGGTAATTGCTAATGCCCATGTGGGAATATTAACAGATTAGCAATTGTAAAAAATGAAAAGGAGCTCAAAGAGCATTTAGGCTGACTTTCTCAGACATGTATTGATTTGGTTGTGGTCATCAGCTAAATAGTGGCAGAGTTGGAATGGTAATCTAGGTTTCTGTCTTCTCATTCAGTACACTTTCCACTAATACCTTTTCTAACCTTTTCTACAAAGTACTAGGGTATAATGTACACTTGACTATTTGCAGTTCCTTGAAACTCAGGCACCAGTTTAGAGTCTACTTCAACAAAATTGAACAGTCACACGAAAGCCTCAAAAAGGCCTTCAGAGGTTTCTAGGGACTCTCAAAGCTCTACTGGTCAAAATGTGTTTCTGTGATAGAAATGAGGTCCTCCTTCACTTAATCATTACACAGTTTAAATTTATCAAACACAGCCCTAATTCTCTATCAGAGAACAGTTAACACCTATAAGTGGCAGGGGGCATCCAGAAGAAGGTCTGGGATTACTTATTGTTATGTTATTCTAAATTGTTGCATTGTTATAGGCCCTGAATAGTGTCCTTGCAAAATTCATATGAGGAAAACCTAACTCACAGTACCTCATAATATGACTGTATTTGGAGATAACTCTTGAAAGGATAATTAAGGTCAAATGAGGTCATATAGGTAGACCTTAATCCAACATGATTTATGTTTTTAGAAGAGATTAGGACACAGAAGACATGGGGGTGAAGGAGGTGGGGAAGATGTGAAGACATGGAGAGAATATAGTCATCTACAAATCAAGAAGTGATGGATGAAACCAACGATCTGTCAGCACCTCGATCTCGGAATTCTAGTCTCCAGAACTGTGAGAAATCAATTTTTTTTGTTGTTTAAACCACTCAGTCTATGGTATTTTGTTATGGCAGCCATAGAAAACCAATGCACTCATTAAATAGTAGGAAACAATGTAAAAAAGTAATTCCATAACACAGAGGAGAATTTAAAAGACAAAGTAACACCTGGATGCCAAGGAACCTTGGGGGAAAAGTAGCCAAAGAACTAAGCTCTAAAATGATTATTCTTTAGAGATGCCTTAGTTTATTTATTTTTCCTCAGAGCAAAAACATTAATTGATAGTAAAAGAAATATAAGTATATTGTGGAGTAAAATGCAAAATTGACATGAACTTCCAAAAAAACAACAACAAGTGAATTTGAAATAAATATTGCATATTGGTAGAGTGCTTTGCATTATATTCTTAGATTTCCAGGGATATGGTGCCCACTTGCTTCTTAGAGGAATTTTGGTAGACAATTTGGAAAAGCACTGTTCTAAAAATATCTGATGCCTCCCAGATAGTCTTCCTTCTATAAAAGGCATCTCGGTGCTTTATTCTGTGCCAAGGGCTTTGAGAGATGACAATAGCAGATACAAATGGATTCTACTCCCTGCCCTGCTTATTGTCTAGAGGAATTGATGCTTCCAGGTGGGACAGAAGTGTAGACAGCTTCCAATGTCAGAGAAAGGGGGGCAAATAAACAGAGCTCTCCCTTTAGACAGCCTTGAAGTATAATATGTCAGGGTTTGAAAAGGAACCACCTATGAAGACTGTTCTAAGGAGCACAACCATTTTCTCCTCACGCATCTTTTAGCCAAACTTAGCTGAGCCACTGAGGTGAGGCATTAGATGCTTCCTTGCCCTCTCCAGATTCTTGGCACATGCATCATCTGGATAAAGGCCTGGGGACTAATTGCAAAAGAGAATGTCACCACCAAAAGTCAGATTACCTTAACATGCAGGTGTAGTTGCCCGTGTCATTGAGAAGGGTGGGCCGGAACCAGAGCACATCTTTCTCCTTACTAATGCGGTTCTCCGGGAGGCGGAAGTTAATTGGTTCCTCCAGGTCCCGGTCCTGCCTCGTCCAATACCAGATCAGAGTAAGGCCAGCTGAATGGGCTGTGCTGTAGTTATATTTCAAGAAGTGTTCAAAGAGTGGGCACTTGATGCGAGCTGGCTCATCTTCAAACACTTGGATCTGCCTCATGGTGTCTAGTCCCCAGTCATCGCAGCGTTCTGGAACGATCAAAAAGAAAAGGCAGGTGAGTCACCTCAAGGTACCGAATTTTTTTCTCCAGGTACCCAATCTTTCCCAGGAACTTCCTTCTCCAATCACCTCTCTTTAATAACTACATGCAACAGGCACCTGTGAAATAATCACTTCCCCCTATTCCTTTACCGTTTTATGACTATCTCTTGGATAATAATTGGATTCAATAGCTTGATCCCACTGTACTCTGAGAGATATGGGGGAGAATCTCATCTGAAAAATAAGTCATATAGAGATCTCATGGGGCAGGGATCTCAGCTGTTACATCACACTCTCTTCTCTTTTGGAAATCGAGACACACCATTGTATACGAGAAGGATCATTTATTCTTTAATTAAGGGTTTGATAAATGTCTACCATGTGCCCCTTAGCTTAGTTAAGCCCTGTAAGTACAATAGCGAGCAAGAGCAGACATGGTTCCTGACGTTACTGAACTTTTAGTCTAGTGAGTAAGTACTGAAGTACTACTTAATTCCTTAAATAAGTATTACTTTACAACTATGATAAGTCTAAGAAGTGCATGGTGTTATGAGAGCATATATATTTGTAATAATTGGAAATTTGTGCTTGTGTTGCTCAGCCATGAAATAAATAAAATATTATGCAAATGGTAAAAAGGGAAAAGCAAAAGTCATGTGCTCTTTGACTCCTGTGGGGGCAGGGATCCTGACTTTAGGACTAGATCTGAGCTCTCCTTTGGCAATACAATCTGAGCCACATTTGTAATTTTAGATATCCTACTTGCCACATTAAAATGTTTTAAAAAGCAGGCAAAACTATTTTTGCATATTTTGTTAAACTCAATAAGATGTCCAAAACACTCTTTATGCACTAATGAGTGGTTTTATATTTGCATTCTTCATTTGGTACTAAGTCTTCAGAATCTGACATGTTTAACAACTGCAGCGCATCTGATTTTTTGCTAGTCATGTGTGTTTACTGAACACCATGTTAGAGAACAGACCTTAAGAAGTCAAGAGGTTTCAGTGACACTTGTCAGGGAACAAAGGTACTATAATTTCAATGACTTAGTTGAATAAATTCATAATGACTTTCATAATTTATTTTTAAAATGAAAAGTAATCACTTGTATATACAGGAAAATGATAATAAATTACCTTTTTATGAAATATGGATAGAGAGTTCTAGATCTCATCATATGGAGACAAGAACAGAGAAATTAGGGGTGATAGAGTATTAAAGAACCCAAAGCAACAACCTTAAAACAGTTTTTCCCCTCTCACAACCCTTACATACATACATACATACATACACATGCATTTTTAATGATGTGATATTCCTGACAGTTCAGCTGACATTAAAACTTTTCATCCATTGCTGAAACCGGTTTGGCTCAATGGATAGAGCGTTGGTCTGCGGACTGAAAGGTCCCAGGTTCAATTCCGGTCAAGGGCATGTGCATTGGTTGCGGACACATCCCAGTAGGGGGTGTGCAGGAGGCAGCTGATTGATGTTTCTCTCTCTTAGATGTTTCTAGCTCTCTATCCCTCTCTGTAAGAAAATCAATAAAATATATTTTTTAAAAACTTTTCATCCATAGCATAAAAATTAAAAATAATATATCCTAATGTTATATTTTAAAATAGTTATACCAATTTTTAAATTATAGTCAATCAAGTAGAGATTTGTCATACACCAATATCCATCTAGAAATATGTAAACAAGTTTTCTTTTAACCTTTGGTAAGTCTATTCTGTTCCTTTTTCTTCTTGACCTTGTATTAATTCTACTATCTTCACACATAATTTTATTTTAATAAAATAGATTTGTTTTAATTTTTAACTTTTTTGTGTAATATATAATGCTCTTTGTTGAAAAGTTGAATTTTATTATGGTAATAATACATACAACTTAAATGATATATATTTTCAACTTAAGTAATTAGTAAATATAAAACAAAATTGTATTGGAAATCATCTCTTGATAATAATCAGGGTGGGCTACTTTTGAATGAGAAGGAGTAGGCATTACTTGAAAATGTTTTATGTAAACATAAGCATTGAAAAATCTGTCCATAACCAAGAACAAAAGGAGTTTACTCCTAGCAAAATTATTCAGTCTTTAAACTTCTTTGGATTTTTATGCCCCATTTATATTTTTATCATAAAAAATTATTTTAATGACCTATCACTTGACATCTCTGGAAGATAAAGTTTGAATAAACAGACCTAATTCACAATACTTCCTATTTCCACATTCTCTCTCTCTCTCTGTCTCTCTCTCTGTCTCTTTCTGTCTCTCTCTCTTTCTCTTTTTCTTTCTCTTTCTCTCTCTTTTTCTTTTTCTTTCTCTTTCTCTCTCTTTTTCTCTCTCTTTCCTTATGAGGACAAAGTGAGAAGGAAGCCCCTTGCAAACTGGGGGGAAAGTTCTCACCAGACTAATCTGTCAGTGCCTTAATCTTGGAATTCTCCGCCTCCTGAAATGTAATACATGTGTGTTGTTTAAACCATCAATCCATGGTATTCTTTTACAGCAGCCAGAACTGACTAAGATACCCAGGAAAACCTAAATAAGAGACCACCAGCAATAAGAGACCACCAGCACCTTCACCAGCATGCTGTCTGGTCTTTCAAAGCTGACAGGTGATGTAAGACCAAGCCACACTTCTGTTAGCAGAACTGCCTAGGCAGCCTATAATTCCTGAGAAAAATACATGTTTAACAAACAAAATTAAGTTTATCACTAAAGTTTATGATTGTTAGACAACATTTTGGTGATGGCAGATAATGGATAGAACAACTAAATTAGTGGCTACTTTAAGTTTGATAAAAGCAAAGGATTTGAAGCTTTATGACTTGCAAAGGGATTTGTGAGTAATAAATCTCTAGGTTAATATTATATCTGTAAAGTTTAACAAACTGACTTTTCTAAGATTCAACAAATTGTTTCTACTTATAATTGCTTTCATTTAGAAACATCTTTTGAAAGCCAATATGCAGAGAAAGTATTGTGAGATCAAAATGTTGTCCACATCAATTCAAACTTGATACTAAAATACTTTACAAAACATCTACCTTAGCTCATTCTTTAAACTGTTTTCAGTCAAACTGCAAAATTGCAGAATTAGCTCATTCAATTTATAGAAAAATATAACCATAGTTATTTTTAGATAACTATGTCAGATTATATACATGCATCCAATTTCATTCCTTTCTGAAACTCCACAAAAACTAAAATTACTTTTCAAGACATAACCCCAAATAACAGCAAGGACAGGAGAAAAGGTAACAGCAACACCAAAATGAACAAGTGGTAACAAGCTTAGCCTGTTTAGAATAAATAATCCTGCCAGCAGGGAAAAACTGGAGAACAAACCAATCAGCAATGCAGAGTACAGAAAAGACCCAGGAGGAGCTATCAGTAGCAACATAAAAAATAAATAAATAAATAAATAAATAAATAAATAATAAAATATAAACATTAGAGCTATTCACCAGTATCCCTGTGTTCGCTTCTAGACATATTGTAAGATTATACTCACATTCCCTCTAAAGGATCAGCCATTTGAAGGGCCCTGATCCCTTTCCTTCTGGGTTGGCAAAATTGAAAGTATGAAGAATGAAACACTCTTAGCTTAGAACCCTTGATATGAAATATATATATCAGAGGTTTGTTTTACTAAGACATAGGAATAGAGATTTGCGTTTTACCAATGTGAATAATCTATTCTATCCTGGCAAATGCAATCAGTAACCTCAAAACTGAGGACACAGCAGAGGTTGGTGAAATAAGGAAAATCAGATAAAGCTATGTCATGCTTGACAACCTTTGTTGTAACTCACTCTCCTAGCACTCAGTAACCTTTCCCATTCAGCTCCAAGGATGAAGTGGTGAGACCTTTACCCACCAGGCCAGTGGTTGGGAAACCATGGCTTGCAAACCACATGCGGCTCTTTGGCCCCTTGAATGTGGCTCAGGGTTAGAACCACTTCTTCAAAATAGTCTCACTCAGGCTGAAAACTGACTTCTGTGCATGGGCCATGAAGTTTCAATTGCGCTGTACGTGTGCTCCCGCACATGGTATTTTGTGGAAGAGCCACACTCAAGGGGCCAAAGAGCTGCACGTGGCTTGCGAGTCATGGTTTGCCAACCACTGCACCAGGCAAAAGAATGAATGAATCTTCTAAGGAAAATATGGCTGGTTTCAGAAAAAGATGTAACAGTGGTCCATTAACAAATTGCATCTCCACACCATCCAACAGAAAAGCTCAAGGTTAACAAGCCTCACACTCATATTTAGAATTTTTAATTTTATTTTTCAAGTACATTTATATTCAATACTAGAGGCCCAGTGCATGAAATTCATGCATGGGAGCGGGGGAAGGGTTGTCTGACTGTCCATTTAGACCCAATCTCGGTGGGATCCCTCTCACAATCCGGAACTGTTGGCTGCCAACTTCTCGCCTGCCTGCCTTCCTGATTGTCCCTAACAGCTTCTGCCTGCAAGCCTGATCACCCTAACCACTCCCATGCCAGCCTGATTGATGTCTAACTGCTTCCCTGCCAGCCTGTTTGCCCCCAACATCCGTCCTCTGCAGACCTGGCTACCCCTAACTGCCCTCCCCTGCAGGGTTGATCACCTCCAACTGCCTTCCTTGCAGGCCTGGTGCCTCCCAACTGCCCACCCCTGCTGACCATCTTGTGGTGGCCATCTTGTGTCCACATAGGGGCAGGATCTTTGACCACATAGGGACAGCTATTTTGTGTCTTTGAGTGATGGTCAATCTGCATATTACTCTTTTATTAGATAGGATAGAGGCCTGGTGCATGGATGTGGGCCAGCTAGTTTGCCCTGAAGGATGTCCCGGATCAGGGTGGGGGTTCTCTTGGGGCATGGGGCAGCCTGAGTGAGGGGTCTGTGGTGGTTTGCAAGCTGGCCATTCCCCCCTGTAATCCAAATGGAGGCCCTGGTATCTGGAATTTATTTACCTTCTACAATTGAAAT